CAGTAAGGACAGTAGAAGTTTGTTTTATGTATAAAAGAAACATTCGTGCTTTTAAATCCTTTTATTTTATATGTATAGATGTTATTGCTTTGTGTTAAATATTATATGCTATTTATTTAATTTGGATTTTGTCTTATTTTATATTTTGTGGGTTTCTCTAATCTATTATACAATGTGTACCTTATCAATTATTTGTAAGTGTAAAAATTATAGCAAATCATATACAGTTACACTTATAGTCAATAGCGCCCCCTTCTCTTGGGACCCACCATAATAGGGTGCTATAAAGAGGGGATGCTATAGACAGGTGACCTTTAATGTAAATCGCATCGTACTATGTATTTAAAATCGGGTGCTATAGAGAGGGGGCGCTATAGACAGGTTTAACTGCAATTGCTTGTAATTATAGAAAGTGCAATCATATAATACAATATAATGTGGCTTATGATTGTAGAACAAAAATTGCAATTATACCGCAAATGTTTGTTCTGAACAAAATATCAAAATTATTTTAAGGAGAAATAGCGATTATTTCTAACCTTAGGGATGAAGTATGATAGAATGAATTGTGAAGAGTAATGATAACAATCATGATTACATTTTGTCTGGAGGCAGCCCAGTAAACTACTATGATTAATATTCAAGTTGAAATAAGATTTTCCTTGTTTGATGTGTGGTCAATACCACTATCTATTATTACAAACAAACTAAAACATTTGTTAGGGTTGGACAAATAGGAAAATTTGACATTTAAGCAATCCCTCAACTCACATCTAAAAACTTTTTATAAGGCAATTAAATGCAAATGTAGGTAGAGTTTGGGTAAAAACAAAAAATAGTGTATACATTTAAATCTTACTATAATTCAAAAACTTATTTTTCAAATTATAATCAACCTATTTGCACTAATATAAGGGGGTCGGCGGAAGGATGGTCTAAACCGTTGGTTTTCAATTGCTACGACCTTGGTTCAATTCCAGCATTGGCCACAGGCACAAGCAAAAAAAAAACTTAATTCAACTTTTGAAATTATTCTGCCCTAATTTGACAATAAATCACCTTAATGAAATATACTCTATAACTCAACATATCGAATTAACAAAGTTTTAACTGTCAAAAAAAAACTGCATTAATACACAATAGTTTTTTTTTGTGTGTGGGGCTAGTGTTTGCTGTGGATTGCAGACTGATCACAAAGTGTTCTTTGAGAATACACAAGGTAATATAAGAACAAATAAATAGTTTGTGATGTTTCAGTAACAGCGTTGTTACCATCATCAAATATTTAGTACTTTTGTCTGATGAATGTAATAACGCTGATACCAAAAAGTTACAAACTATTTATTTATATTCAAGTTTCAAATCGAGAATCCAAAATGTACCTAGTTACTTCTTTGAGCATAACAAGAAACAACTATCGTAAAGATAGAGGCTGCCTGGCCGGAATTCATAGTTCTTCAAATTAACTTCGGCCAGTAAATCTTTTTTATTATCTCGACCTTTAGACAAAAATCTTTTGTCCTTGTCAGGAGCGAACAAAAAATTAAAACATTTGACAAATCATTAAAAATTATTCTAAGGCTACATGGGCGTTCTTACGCGATATTTCATGACGAGGACAAAAGATTTTTGTCGAGACAATAAAAAAAGATTTACTGGCCCAAGTTAATTTGAAGAACTATGAAGTTGAAGAAGAAACAACTAAGAGAGTTGATAAGGCACAATTTGGATTATAGATTATAAACACAAGGTAATAAGACCAAATCTAAATAAATAAATAGTGTGTGACGTTTCAGGGTTGTTACCATCTTCAGACAAAAGTACTGAATGAGAGAATTTTGAATTTGAATTCTCTCATTCAGTACTTTTGTCTGAAGATGGTAACAACGCTGTTACCGAAACATCACACACTATTTATTTATTTGGATTTGGTCTTATTACCTCGTGTTTATAACTAAGAGAGTTATTCACAACCACACCCAGACACAAGAGTTTCCCCTCAACAACATCAACAGGATTCATTAACAGCCCCTTACCTCTATCATCCTCCCAAGAAGAGGCCTTTCTGCTGTTATACTTGCTGGGACCATTCTGGAGGGGAGACCTGGAGTCTTCTGGAGGCCTCTCCCGGTCCTGATGTCTCCAGCTGCCCCTCCCACCTGCAACAGGTGTCAATATTTATTTCTTATCCCCTTGTGCAAATATAACACAAATCTCCTCGAGCTGTGTGATGATAAGCAGCTCACAGAGGTCCTGTTTAGTACATCTATGGCAAGCCAAAATTAATGTCCTTGTGTAGAGACAGTAGTTATAGACTGTGTAGTCACCTAGCCATAGAATGTTGTTTTTAGCATCTGTCGAATTCACTTTTGTCCTAATCATTTTTTTAAATGTACATATGTAATTCCTTTGTTTACATATGTGTCCATAGTTACATATCTTGTTAGTGAAATTCGAATGAAGGGGTACATGTGTGTTGATAATTGGGGTGACACATAGGTTGACAATGTTGTTGTTTCTTATCCCCATGTGTGAAGATTACACAAATTCCATGAGTCCATGCTCCTCGAGCTGTTGTTATTGTTTCTTATCTCCTTGTGCAAATATTACACAAATTCCATGAGTCCATGCTCCTTGAGCTGTTTGATGATAACTTTTGATGACTGTAGAAATCAAAATTCTCCACAATTTGATCTTTTTGTCGGACAGTGTATAGATACTTTTAAACTCAGCTACAATATCTCCTTCGGCATAAACCAGACCACCATAGGGTCTAAGTAACAACATGGTATTGTCTTGTAAGGACAAAAATCAAAATAGTCTTGCAGGTGAAAACCATGAATATATGCTCTCAAATATGATAAAAGTGAGAATTCTGCACTTGTAGAACATAAGGGGGGGAAAAAAACCGCTGAACACAATAATTTCAATCTGAAAGAAACAAAGATATTAAGAATATAAAAATAAAAATACAACCTTTCGCAATGAGTTTCTTTTATTATTATATTTATATTATATAATAAAAGAAACTCATTGCGAAAGGTTGTATTTTTATAATTTGTAGCGCAATTTTTTCGTTTACTTCAAATATTAAGAATAGGAGAAAAAACACAATTAGACCAAATAAATAAATAGTGTGTGACGCTTCAGTAACAGCGTTGTTACTGAATTCAGTACTATTATTAGTAAAGTACTATCATTCAGTACTTTTGTCTGAAGATGGTAACAACGCTGTTATAGAAACATCAAACACCATTTATTGATTTGGTCTTATTACCTTATGTTTATAATCTATAATCCAAATTGTGCCTTATCATTTAGAATAGGAGAAAATAATCAAGAAACTTTTTTCATCCAAAAAGCTACAAATAGCAGAACATATAAAGTAAGAATGGGGAAATATTAATGACATTTACAGATATGGTTTCAATTACACCTTAATTTTTTTTATATTTTGCTCTACTTTAACAAATAATATTTTAGGATCCCTCGGCAGAGCTGACTGCTACAGGGCGCGTCCCCAGGTGCCAGATAGGGGAATGACCTTCAGATATGAAAGCCAGCTGTGAAACAAGCAGAATAACTCTGACGAATAAGCAGTCGCGGACCAACAGCAGCATTATTAGAAGAGGAGAAAGACCTCTTTAAAAATCCTGACTTCAACTGACCCGGTTGATAGACCTCAGCAATGGTCCCACTCCAGGGATACGGAGGAGCTGCGTCTGTACTCATGTTATAGTCGGCAGCAAAGGCGTCTGCTTCCATGTTAGGAATGGCCTCAAACTACAGGCAAAGTCAGACTTTCACCAAAGTGTGCCTGGATCATGGTGCCATGATCAACGAAAGCTGCACCCCTACACCCCATTCCATGAGATCACATATTTTAGGATTCTTAGAAAGTTAAAAAAATGTTTTTTTTTTTTGTTTTTTTTTTTACTTTTTCTTCTTATCAGTACTTATAAAGGTACAATTTGTATTATAGATTAGAAACACAGGGATAGAAAAAAAGGCTAAATCCAAATAAATAAAGGGCAATGTTAACTGAATTTTTACCAAAACATCATGTATAATTGGATATGGTCTTGTTACTTCTTATGCTTCTAATCTATATTAAAAAATAATAAAAAAATTGTACCATATGCCGGTAGAGACTAATTCAAGAGCAAAAAATTCTGATAAGGCACACTATTTGGATTATAGATTATAAATACAAGGTAATAAGACCAAATAAATAAATAGTGTGTGACAGTAATAGCATTATAATATAATGCGGCTTATGATTGTAAAATTACATTTGGAATACTATCCTGCATGTGTTTCTTTTCAACCTAAAATCAAAATATATTTTAAGGAGAAATAACTATTATTTCTAACCTTTTGGATATGAGGTATGAAAGGGTGAATTGTGAAGAGTAATGATAAAGAGAAAAATAAAAGTGTCCAGGGATGGGAAACAATTCACCCTTTCATACCTCATATACAAAAGGTTAGAAATAATCGTTATTTATTCTTAAAATAAATTTTGATTTTTCGTTGAAAAGAAACACATGCGGGATAGTATTTCAAATGTCGTTTTACAGTAACAACATTATAAAGGACTGCGGCGTATGATTATAAAACAACACTTAAAGTTTCACCGCATAAGTTTCTTTTCTGTGAAAAATCAATATTTATTTCAAAGAGAAATATTTACTATTTCTAACTTTTTTTGGATGAAGTATGAAAGGGTGAAAGCAGAAGGTTGTGGGTTCGATTCCCGCCCCTGGACACTTTTATTTTTCCGTTCGCCATTACTCTTCATATTTTCACCCTTTCATACTTCATCCAAAAAAAGTTAGAAATAGTAAATATTTCTCTTTGAAATAAATATTGATTTTTCACAGAAAAGAAACTTATGCGGTGAAACTTTAAGTGTTGTTTTATAATCATACGCCGCAGTCCTTTATAATGTATTATAAGTTACTTTAAGTATTATTTACGAACGGAAAAATACGTCCAGGGTAGCCTAGTGGACATGGCATCTGCCCGGTAAGCGGAAGGTTGTGGGTTCGATTCCCGAATACTATTTATTTATTTGGTATTATTAGAAATAATCCCTCGGGTCAAGACAATGGTCTAGAAAAGCTGTCAATTATCAGTCAGCTCCAGTTGGAGATAAGAAGTATCTGCTCTGATAAGTGAGAGAGATGGAAGTCTATCAATGTGGTTACATCTATCTTCTCTACTTCCCTAGGTAAATGTAAACTAAAAAAGAACAATTTTTAAAAAATATTTCACATATGAAGGTGTGCAGAGCTGATGAAGTTATGGGGCTACACCAAAGATCCAAATTGTGCCTGCAACGTCCCACAATCAATGTCCCATATACTAGATGACTGCCCGCTGTACAAATTCAATGGAGGAATCTCCAATCTCCATTCTGTCACCCCGGAAGCCCTGAACTGGCTGAAGGCCTTGCCTCTCAGACTTTAATGACCGATATGTCCTCACTTCTTTTTTCTAGATTTAATTCATTTTGTCTCCTCTCTAATTGTAAATACGCTGCTGTATCACCTCATAAGCATAAATAAATATGAAGGAAACAAAAAGGGAAATATTTGTTGAAAGTAATGAATAAAAAAGGTAACAAGACCAAATCCCAATTGATGAAATTTGTAGTAACAATGATGTGTTACAGAAAGATCATAAACATTTTTCAATAATTTGGTGACTTGTTTACTTTTTGATTTTATATAATTTATAATCCAAATTAATAAGATGTATTTAATGTGCATATCTGAAATTTTGAACTACTTTTGACGTATAATAAAACAATTGGCTACTACCCCCTTTACTTCAATGATAAAAATATATGGTTCTATAATTCAAATTTCTGAAAGCAATGTTTTATGTGTGGGACAGCCTGAGACTACGTCTCTTCTTCTTTCTTATCTCTACTCAATCATATTAGGGTATCAAGTTGTGACCCTTGATGGTGTGTGTTTGATAACCATCATGACTGAGTGAAGTAGAATGCATCTGCCTTTGTCATTAAGACTGGGAGCTCTACTCAGTAGCAGGCCGACTTAGCTCCAAAATAAATGGCCGCCTCTGACATGAGGAACAGACACCATGTGCAGCTGCTCCTAACAGCTGTAGTACAAACGCTGCTCATCCTGTATCCCTGGATCAGGAGCCCTTACAGGGTACTATCAGCCGGGCCAGCTTGGGACCAGCACAGGCAGAGTATGTACAATGAGAGAGTGGATGGTGTTGGTCCACCACACACAGTAGCTGTCAGACAGTGACTGTTGTACTCACCTGAGGCCCACTTGTCTGCGGACCCTCCTCCCCTCGAAGTCCTCCAGCCGTCTTCTTCTTTCCTGGAGTCCCCTAAGGAGTCCTTGCCCCTCCTCCAACTCTCCTCTTTCCTGGGGACACCCCCTCCCTCCTCCCTGCTGACGTAGTTGGGTCTGGTCTGGGCGTGGTACCTTCTGTCCCTTCAACACCCACCACTTGTTACCTCCACATTGTTGCTGTTAGTGTCCAAGTTGACTTTTGGTGTTTTTTATTTGCTTATCCCTAATACACGTGTTACAGGCCATGATAATCATGGTGGGTAGAAGTAGGTGACTGCTTTTACTGTAAGTGCATCACATGTCTACACATGTGAAAAGCAGTTCGACTTTGCACTTACAAATGTGTCAGAGCTCCGTTTGGTTACTTGCACTCGCTGTTGGGATTGGACTTTTGCAAGAATCGGGGGCCATTAGTGTAATTTTTTTTTAATTAAAAAAAAGTATCCAATGCAGGATTTTATCCCGGGTCATAGAGGTCGAAAACCAATGGTTTAGACAACCCTTCCACTGACCCCACCTGTTTATTTATATAACCTCTACCCACCATGATTATCATAATCTACCCCACTTGCCCAAAATGTAGCTTGGCACCTGCAGCTCCAGAACACATTTTGGCTTGCATTAGATGTACTAAACAGGACCTTTGGGAAAGGCCGCTGCTCATCATAAAACAGCTCGAGGAGCATGAACTCATGGAATTTGTGTAATCTTTACACAAGGGGATAAGAAACAACAACAACAACAATGATTATCATGGCCTGTACCACATGTACTAGGGATAAGCAAATATACATATATATAGGAAGGGAGGCACTATTCAGAGGGGGCGCTATAGACAGGTTTAACTGTATATATAACACAACAATGTAATAAAATCTTAGTTCCAAATGATGTTGTAGTCACACACCTAGTTATTTACAGCATAGCTATATGATGATATCACCATGATATCAAGTTAGTAGCACCGTGGTTAATAGAATTATGATGTTCTGGCTAAGTTTGTGTTAAGATATGGCATAATCTGGATTATACATTAGAAACAAAGTAATAAGACCAAATTCAAATAAATAACAATGCTGTTACTGATAGGTAACACGCTATTTATTTATTTCGATCTTATTACCTTGTGCTTCTAATCTATAATCCAAATTGTGATTTTTATAAGTAGAAATGTCCAATACAGAATTAGAGCTCTAAAAAGCTGGTCTAGTGGATTAAATTGGCGAAACTGTTGGAAGGGTTCCCCCAAAACCCTCCCACTATTTTTCATCATCGTAGTAAAAAAGTAGAAGTTTGTATCATTTGTAAAAGAAACCTTGAGGCTTGACAATAAGGCCAAATCTAAATAAATATATAAAGTGTGTGACATTTCGGTAACAACACTGAAAGGGTCTTTTGTCTGATGATGGTAACAATACTGTTACCGAAACGCCACACACTATTTGCCTTATCATTTGGTCAGGAATCTGGAGGAAGAGGAGCTCACCTCTCATCCCATCGACTCTCCGATGTCTGCCGCTCTCTCTCCCAGCGCTGCTCTGGTGGAACCTGCCCCCTCCCTCTCTGGTTGAACTCTTCGTTGTCGTCGTAGTTCCGCTGGTAGTAGCCGCCACCTCGACCTACAGACACACACCAGTTTACAATATTTAAATACAATTACAATACAACATTTAAATACAATTACAATACAACTCTTTAAAAATCCTGAGTTCAACTGACCCAGTTGATGGACCTCAGCAAAGGGTCCCACTCCAGGGATATGGAAGAGCTGTGTGACCTTCAGATAAGAAGGCCAGCTGTGAAACAAGCAGAATAACGCTGACAAATAAGCTGTCGTGGACCAACAGCAGCATTGTTAGAAGAGGAGAAAGACCTCTTTAAAAATTCTGAGTTTAACTGACCCAGTTGATGGACCTCAGCAAGGGTCCTACTCCAGGGATATGGAAGAGCAGTGTCTGTACTCATGTTAGAGTCGGCAGCAAAGGCTTCCATGTTAGGAACAGCCTCAAATTACAGGCAAAGTCAGACTTTCACCAAAGTGTGCTTGGATCATGGTGCCATGATCAACGAAAGCTGCACCCCTATACCCCATTCCATGAGATCATGAACTCATGGAAATCGTGTAATTTTAACACAAGGGGATAAGAAACAACAACACAATACAACATTGCCAAGATTCATGTACCAAATGGGAGGGGGCACACCTCTCCCTTTTAAAAATGATCTAAAACATTACCATTTTGTTCTACACCCCTATACAGAATACATGGATGGAAATGAAAATATATATATAGGCCACAACACCTGCTTTGCCAAATTCAGACAAAAAGTCAACAACCTGTTTACATTCCTAATACAGTAGAACATACTTCATGAGAGGACACCTCTCTACAAAGAACAGTTTTCATCACTAATACAGTACACCAATCTCTATGAGAAGACATACATGCTAGAGGACACCTCTCTACAAAGTACAGTTTTCATCACCAATACAGTAGATCAACCTCTATGAGAGGACACTCACCCTAGAGGACACCTCTCTACAAAGAACAGTTTTCATCACCAATACAGTAGATCAACCTCTATGAGAGAACACTTACCCTAGAGGACACCTCTCTACAAAGAACTGCTTTCATCACCAATACAGTAGATCAACCTCTATGAGAGGACACTCACCCTAGAGGACACCTCTCTACAAAGTACAGTTTTCATCACCAATACAGTAGATCAACCTCTATGAGAGGACACTCACCCTAGAGGACACCTCTCTACAAAGAACAGTTTTCATCACCAATACAGTAGATCAACCTCTATGAGAGGACACTCACCCTAGAGGACACCTCTCTACAAAGAACAGTTTTCATCACCAATACAGTAGATCAACCTCTATGAGAGGACACTCACCCTAGAGGACACCTCTCTACAAAGGAATGATTTCATCACCAATACAGTAGATCAACCTCTATGAGAGGACACTCACCCTAGAGGACACCTCTCTACAAAGAACAGTTTTCATCACCAATACAGTAGATCAACCTCTATGAGAGGACACTCACCCTAGAGGACACCTCTCTACAAAGGAATGATTTCATCACCAATACAGTAGATCAACCTCTATGAGAGGACACTCACCCTAGAGGACACCTCTCTACAAAGAACAGTTTTCATCACCAATACAGTAGATCAACCTCTATGAGAGGACACTCACCCTAGAGGACACCTCTCTACAAAGGAATGATTTCATCACCAATACAGTAGATCAACCTCTATGAGAGGACACTCACCCTAGAGGACACCTCTCTACAAAGATCAGTTTTCATCACCAAAATTATCTTTTTTTTTTTTTTCTTTGGCAACTCTATGGTAAGAGGACACCTCTCCCTAAAGGACACTTTGGCTTTGTAGTTGTGTGTTGTCCTTTACAGGGAGTTTCTACTGTAGCACCAACAATCCAACAATGACTCTTTGTGGAACCACTTGTTAACACTTTGTGGGACACTGTGTGTGTGTGACGTTTCAGTAACAGCATTGTTCAACCTTGTGTACTCCAATGGAGAACTATTGTAGCATTACTAGTACAGTATTACTAGACGACCATTCTATAATGGCCAATTAGTCGAGTAAAAAGAGTCCAGTCAGTATAATCTACCAGACCTGACTATTCAGTATCCAGTTCACAGGAATTCAACAACAACAAAGCCTTTATTTAGGGCCTCTCGCCCTATA